ATACGTACATGTGTATACGCTATATTGTAAAAGTATTGTTTAAAAGGTATCTTGCAAGCGCATACAGTACCGTAAAGAGAAATAGATTGCACTACGATACAGACGTTGCCTGCTCTCCAAATAAGAATTGCTAAGTGTCTAGTGCAATATTTTCTATACTCATTGAAGATAATAAAAACTAAAAGGAGAGAGAAGAAACAGAGAAAACAAAAAAAAAAAAAAAAATACAGGTTGATATCAATACTTTTGTTTCTTTCAATGAGGTCATTGGTGGCATTCAAGTTAGATGCTTGAGGGCGTATCATTAAAGTTCCAAGTATTCAGTGTTCCATTTGATAGAAAATTTACATTGAACTAGAAGGGTGGGGAGGGAAAAGATATCATTGGAGACAAAGAAAAGGGAAAAAATGAGAACAGTGAAAGAAAGAAAAAAAAAAAAGAGAAGATTATATGAAATTGAAAAAGAAAATACAGCAGTGGTTCTCTACTGCCGTGCAATGGCAAGCATCATCATGGAAAACTCAACATAATTTAAAGACTCTGGTACATCGCCAACGGTGCCTTGTATGGTGGCCCTGAAATCTCTTTCCTGCGCACGATATGGTCGTCTCTGAAAGCTCTTCACAAAGTCTGTCAGGGTGTTCTCATCATACGGCACACCGCAGTTATCCATAGGGCAAATAGGATGATCATGAGGCCATAAAAGTCGTGTGTTGCTGCTGGGTCTACTGCAACACCCCTCCGTTGTCTCGAGCTGTTTTTCAAGTATCAACTGTACAACGTCACGAATGGGAACCGTTTCTCCACCACCGGAGAGAGCGAGAAAGATGGGATACAACTCCGCGTCGAGAATCCGCACACCACAAAGGGCGGCTCCTTCCCGTATATTTTCTGATAAGTGCGCGGTTGCGGTGAACGGGGGAATTTGAACAGTGTTTCCACCACCCACGTTAACCACCAATGGCCCTGTCGGTAATGTAGTTGTTGTCTGCACGGTGAGTGCACCTTTCTTTTCACTTATTCCTTTTTTCTTTCCCTCCAGCGTTTCTTTGGTTACATCTTCTTCTTCTCCCTCCGGTACAGTCACACCACTATCAGAGGGGGTTGCCGGTCCTTCCTTATCTGCTGTCATTGTAGCGGCTGCTGCTACACGTCGGCGTTCCTCAATCTCAACACGAGTCTTTGCCATCTGCGTAATCTCCAGTATATCCCGGCAAAGTTCAACCGCCTTGTGTGAGTCTTCACCAGAAGCCACAATAGTAGCCTGCCAAATAATACCACTGTGTTGTACAAAATCTTCCACTGTTTCTACAATAATTTTGCAGACATGAAATACAACTTCTCGTTGTCGACTTTCCTCACCACCACCCCAAAGAAGTCCCACACATTTGGCTACCACCATAGTTGTATCAAATTCAAGGATCAAAGAGTGAACCCCATGAAGTTCAGCGGTGAGTAAACCTTTTAAAACCCACAAACGTAATCTTTCTGCTGCCAATGTATTGTACACTTGCAATGGTTCAGACTCTTTATCATCTGGTATAAAAGCAGCAATTTCATCATCTTCAATATAATTATTTCCAGGTTTTCTTCGACAAAGTAATATACGAATACACTGTGCCACATCCACAGAAGGTTCTGAAGTAGTAACTTCCTCAGAGAAATAACGAACATCATATGATCCTTGTCGCCATTTATTAATCATATCAGGATATCGTCTCATGACTTGAATACGTTTACGCATCCGATCTCCAGATGTATAATATGAGCATCGTACACGGTTATCCACAGGATATTCTGAATATACTTCAAGAGTTTCCTTTACATCATATTTTCCCTCTGCACGATGTGAGGCAAGAAATAAGGTAACAATATCAGGTCCAACACCTTTATCAATAACCCAACTAGGTGCAATACCTTCCAATACCAGCAACCATGCATCAAAGATCCATCGTAGAGGTGATAATCCAAGAGTTCCTTCCAGTGCACGATCTGGTAAATGTTCACTTGAACTTGAAGCCTTAGCATATAATTCAAGTTGATGTTGAAATGAGTAATATTTTGACTGTGACACATATACAGAACGTAAACGAAAAAGTGGAAACTTCTCCACAAGATGCATTTTTATATTTTCATTAAACGCTTCATTTCGAAAAACCAGTCGGAAAATTGGTACAGGAAAAGAATCTTTACTATCACATTCCTTCGGTAATTGATACACAATAAAGCAATATTCAGGTAGAATAGGATGCCAGGCAGATGGTGATTCATTAAAATCACCACCAAATATAGCCGCATATTCTTGAGAAACTTTCATTCCAGTATCACCACAAAGACGCGGCATTGGCACCAAAACAAGTCGTTCCACTTCATCAAGTACCATCCCATATCGCATCACATCAAATTGACGTTTGTGTAACATTCGAGTGTGCAAAGCATGCGTTTCCATCGCTCGTCGAACAGGATGAACAGAATAATCAATAGCCTTTGCAAGCACATCAAAACGAAGAGTTAAATCACTGATGTGCAGCATCGCATCCGCAACTGTGCCGGGTGTAAAGCCTGGTGGAACCAACTTGGCGTGTGGGGAATCCCACAAGAAGGGGGACAAAGGCCCCATAGAAGCTGAGACCAATTGCATCTTCTTTTTTGTTTTTTTTTTTTTT